GCCCCAGCTGCTTTGGCTCAGCGGAAAGAATGTCGGCCTGGGGACTGAAGGATCCTGGATTCGATTTCAGTCAAGGGAATGTACGTAGGTTGCAGGCTTGATCCCCAGCTCTGATTGGGGCATGTGCAAAGGCAACAAATCTATGTATCTCTCTCACATCAATGTTTCTCTCTCTCCCTTCCACTCTCTAAAAACCCATGGAAAAATATCCTCAGGTGAGGATTTAAAAAAAAAAAAAAGGTCATGGCTTACTCTGACCCCCTTTTCTGATACTCAACTCAAACTTCTGCTCCATAGTTCAGAATCACATGGAAGAAAAGAAAAAATATAGGAGCTGTTTTAAATGCATAAAATAGAATGTATCATAGTATAAAAGACACCACCAGAGACTTGGGTTTAAATCCTGCCTCCACCCCTTCCCTTGCTAGCTGGCTGATCTTTCAATAATTTAGCAAATAGTTTCTGAGTGCCAACTATGTGCTAGGAACTGAGAAAATAGAGGTAAAAAAGACAGACAGGTCCCACCTCTTCTCATCAAAATTATACTCTACAGGGAGACACCCAAAGACCAAGTTATCCTATATAATAAAAGCCTAATATGCAAATTGTCCCCCCCAGCAGTCATTCAACCAGGAGGTTGACTGGGAGACTGGGAGTTCGACTGTTTGCTATGACGTGTGCTGACTACCAGGAGGCAGTGTGGAACATGGCAGGTGTTGGCGACACGCTACAACCTCTCGCTGGCTATCTGGGGGCAGGGGTGATGGGACAGAGTGAGGTGAGAATGTGGGGTGTCTGCCAAGCTCGTTCTCACTCCCCCTGCTACCCTTCCCAAGGACGCCAGGGCTTGTGCAGAAGCACACTCCCCCCCGCTCCCATGCTCAGGTGCTGGGCGCCCATGAGGAGCCTGGCCCGCACTCATACCCGGCCTCTTCCAGGTGAGCTAGGCCACAGTGGCCAGTAGGGCTCCCCATGGGTTTGCGCAGGAGCTGGTCTGCAAGGCTGGTTGGGTAAAGTGTGCTGCCTGCCCGGCTTCCGTGTGGTGCCACTGGGTGGCCCAGCGGCCCATGCTGCACCCCGACCCGTGGTGTCCGGCCGTGCTCACCGCATTCCCGCACTCATACCCGGCCTCTTCCAGGTGAGCTAGGCCACAGTGGCCAGTAGGGCTCCCCATGGGTTTGCGCAGGAGCTGGTCTGCAAGGCTGGTTGGGTAAAGTGTGCTGCCTGCCCGGCTTCCGTGTGGTGCCACTGGGTGGCCCAGCGGCCCATGCTGCACCCCGACCCGTGGTGTCCGGCCGTGCTCACCGCATTTCTGCATGGGGACTCGGGCGCCATGACTCAGGCGGAGGTGGGCACGCGGGGCCCAGGGACCCAGGTGCTGCCCAGGGCCCAGAGGGCAGCTGGGACCTGCCTTTCCATGCCAGACACTCACGCTTCGATCGCCGGCCAGGCCTAGGGACTGCACCCGTGCACGAATTTCATGCACTGGGCCTCTAGTGGTATTATAAAAGAAATGACCATGGAGTTATGGCAGAGAATAGTGGTGGGGATAGAGATGAGGCCCCACTAAAGTAGGATGGTCAGGGAAGGCCTTTCTGTGACATTTAAATTAATACCAAAAGCTGATGTAGAGCCGACCATGAAAAGAGGGGAAAACCTTCTAAGCAGAGGAATGACAGTATGTGCAAAGGGCCTGAGGTGGGAAAATGTTTGGCCTGGTGAGAAATCAAAAGGAGGCCAGAACTACTAGACCATGGGAGGAGGAGAAGAAGAGAGGGGTGAGAAGGTCAGAGAGGAGGGTAGAGGTCATTAATAGGGGGTGGAATTCATGTAAAAATGAAACCATGGGAGTTCTAAGCAAGGAGAGAGTCACAATTTGATTTTTTGAATTGTGGTAAAATACACAATATAACTTCACAGTTTAATCCATTATAAA